AAGTTCGCGGAACAAGTCGCGGAAATTAAATGTATCGTACGAGATGATCTCTCGATTGCTCACGCAGCCGCCTGGCGCCATACTCTCGTTCCTGGCCTTAAAGTGGGGTGCGCTTCTAAATTTTGTTCCTTTCTCGATGCACGATCATCATCAAGCTTTTGGTCCCGTCTCTTCCACTTGTGGTTGTACATTGTCGTTGGGTTACGACCACAACTCTAGTGCTATTATTGTTCCCAGCATATTGTCTTTGTGTTATGGCTACAGTTATGGACATTGTTCCAGTACGTATGGTTGTCCTAAGCAACTATTGGAACTTTTGACATCATATTACCACTCCTCCGCCAAGCCGTGTGCCTAGCTGGCTTGAAGAGTGACTTCTTATTCGCTGTCCTGCCCAGCTCTTATCCAAACTCAATTGCTGACGTGCCTCATGGATCGTTCGCACCCAGTACTGTCATGAAAAGCAATTATGCGGCCGGATCCCTGCTAGACAATTTATTTCAATTTGTCTTGGTCAATTTTTGTATGACATCTCGTAATGCGCACCCTTGAGCTAAAAATCGCAATGTGCTAATCAACGATTCCCCTTTATTTTCCAATCAATGGGCATGTTTCTTGCATGTCACTGAAAGTCCACTACTAGTACTAAGTCTGTTCATTTCTCTTCTGTAGGTTACCAGCCCCCCTAACACATAGTCCACTCTTGATTTGGAATTCCTGGAAAGCCTGATCAGAGGTAGGCCTAATAAACCACCTTAGAGCCTGGACAGCTGTGTTATTTCTCAGTTTATTCGCAGTTTATTTCTATTGTGGCGTGGCAACGAGTGACAAGTTGTGACTCATGTGTGACTCAATCAGCATCCATACTGCCAAGTCATGGCAAAATGGAAGAGTACAGCATCTGTGAATGCTGGTACTAGTGCAGGCTCAACTACTACTCACTGGACTGATGAAGAGACCTCCCACTTCATCCAATATCTCACACTCCATTGCGCTGAAGGTGGAGATGGTACCAACTTCAAAAGGCAACCTTTGCTGCTGCAGTGGCTCATTTGTTGGAGCCCCCAGATGGTATTCCGAAGGAGGACCACATAGCTGGAGTCAAAAGGGATGGGCTGTTACTACAGTAAATTTGTACAGATTGCACATACCAACCTTGCTCCCCATACCCATACTTATTCACTCCCTGACAAAAGAATAGACATCCCCACCATCACTGACAATATCAAAGGAAAACAATGCCAACAGAGAAGGATACCATCAATGACAATAGCTGATAACAAGGCACTGAAAAGCATCGGCCAAGTCCTGTTGATTTCACACTATCATCTCTACTAACACATCCTTCATTTCACAGCATTCCATTTGTACTTGCCACCTAGAGTGGTGGAGTATGAGTTAGCTTCATTCATTCAATAGACCCAGAGACCTCAGATGGGATGGAGTACGCACTCAAAGACTGAGCCAACCAAAATGAAAGAAAAAGCTAATGATGAGACAAATGTCCAACATAGGGTCTCTGACCCCAAAGGACTATTCTGAAGCAAAAAAAAAAGGGATGGGCTGTCATGCAAGAACAAATGGATCATGGTACATGCATCATTATTTTTCAAATTGATTAAATATCTGACTACTGCAGTGCAAGAAAAAGCATACCACTATCATTGATATCAAATCGTAATCAGGCTTTTTGTGGGATGATGAACTTGGCGCAAATATTAGCCCAGCTGATGCCACATGTTGGACTGCATTTTCAAATGCACATCCCAATATGAAGCCCTTTCACAACAAAGGCTGGAAACACTTCAAGGAGATGGATGATCTTTTGTGCACACAGATCTCACATGGCACTAATGCCTTTCATGCAGGCCAGGAAACCTTCCAATCACAAGGCAATTCTCACGACATCAGCAGCAAAGGCCCGGGTGTTGATGTTGTTGAGAATGAGCCTGCAGCACCTGTGATGGGAGACCTGGGGGACTTAGTGGTTGAAGGAGATGTTGAGAGGATTTTGGAGAGAGATTCAACTGGGCTGGATGACAATGAAGAAGATATCATTCCTTGGGAAGCAACACCTCCTCCTCTTTCAAAATGAAAATTTGTGGCCATGTCTTTGACTCTGTCTCTTACCCCTTCCGAGTCTTGTCCTTCTGGTCCACAATTGAAATGTCAGCATGCCAGCGGATCAGCCAATGCACTCTATGCAATAAATGATCAATTTTCAGAGTTCACTGATGTCTTTTGTGTAGCAACACAATTGGAAAATTCAGCTATTGCCTTATCACCTCAGTGCAAGCAGGCAGCAATGCAGTGTGCTCAACTTCTAGAAACTCAATGATGATAGCATGGCCACACTTATCAAAGCCTTTCAGGTGGATGTCAGTGCTGCTGGCACATATATGGTCATGTCCAATGAAGGGCCAAGGAGGTCTTTTGTTGATCACAAGATCAAATATATCAACAAGTAGAATATCTAGGTAGTATAGGCATTGTGTACTCATCTTGTTGTGTCCTGATGAGCACAACACACTCTATGATAGTCCCTCCACATAGCATCTGCAATACAATCTCTGTCCTCTGTTGCCTTTTGCCTTTCAGTACAGCCCGCCAGTCCTTCAGCAAGATTGCCCCTTGGCTCACCTGGATCAAGGTCCATGAGATCCTTGATGGTGAATTCTTCTATTTCCTTTGGATCAAAAATTCGGATGAAATTGTGAATGGTGCAAAGTGCTGGGGAATTCAGGCTTGTGTTGACATGTTATATTCCAGTGGATGTATGAGTATCATGAACCACCTCTTGAGAATGCCAAATATTCACTTGATCACATTTCGAGCCTGAGCATGCCAAAGGTTGCATATTTCTTTCAAATCCTTTGGCCTGCCATCCATGAGAAAATCAATAGTTCGAGTGAAATATCACTCACCAAACTGTAGCTCAACCCCACTCAGCCAAGTGGTACCGAACACTTTGGTATGGAATGAGAAGTGAGTAGCATATTCTGAACCCAGCATCCACAAGGTAGTATCTTCCTTGCAGAATGTATAGGTCAGTGAGATGGGCATTATTATATAGAGTTGAGTCCAAGGTTGATTCATCCCAACTGCTGAGCACATACCAGGACTGAAGATCAAATGAACAGCATGCAAGACAATTTCAGCTGACAAAACCTTTTCAGTTTTGAGACAGCTGCCTTTCTGCTGTGGATGGACAACACACAATGTGTGTACTGTCCATGGCTCCAAGTGCCCCTTCAAAGTGCAGAAAGAATTTTGGGTTCCCAGATATTTCTGGTGGAATAGGTGCGTCCTCCTGCAGTAGATAGATGAATTTGTTGTAGAAGGGAGCCAAAGACAGAGTGAGCAGAACCTTCTTGAAATATCTGATGCAGCATGTGAGACAGTGAATATCTTGCAATAGTATGGACATACTTCTGTGTCATTGTGTGGGAGTGCTGAAAACATTCTGTGACATGACAGCTTGAAAGCCCTGTCATGCATGTATAGAGAAATATAGTGACTTGCTCATCAAGCAGAATATATTTTGAGTTACATAGCCTGCAGGTCCGAAGCTCATGTACAAGCACATGGAAGATGTGTTTCCTCATTCTGAGCTCAGTTTTGATCCAGTCAGGGTGTCCATTGATGAGTTCTTGCACCCATGCATGTCCAGTGAGTACTGATGTATGGTAGGGAATTTCATTAGCTGGAGACATTTCAGCCTTGGTGTGATGTCATACAGTGTGTGATATGCCAACCTTGTCACAGTTGTTTGTACATATTGTTATGAAATAAATAAACTGCGAAATAAACTGAGAAATAAACACAGCTGTCCAGGCTCTTATATCATCCAATGGTCCTGCATGATCTGTCATTAGAAATGTCATTGGATATGAGACCTCCCATACCACCCACTTGCCTCAAAACATGTCCACCTAATTGGAGTGAGAATACTGGAAGAGTGTCTCATGACATGGTACTGTGATGCTGGACTAAAAATATTGCTTCTTTGAAGTGAGTAGGAATTGCACAACTACAGAGTTGGTATCGTTTCAGTAACAGTTAACATTTATGTTCAATGAAGCTTAGAAGCTTGAAGCCAATGACCAATAAATCGTGAATCAAGTACTGACACCAACATGTGACATCAACCAGTTCTTCCCTAATGTCAACTTCAACCATGGATAAGTATCTTGTGAGTACATTCAAACCAAGTGATCCCTCAAAGCTGACAAAATACCTGTCCTACATGGCTAGGGAATTTTCATGTGATTGCAGCAAAACTTCATCTGAATCTGCTGATTCCCACCTCATCCCCTGCCACAACAATCTGCAGTTTCATGCAGTGATACAGGTATGACTAGTCTATAATACTAAATCAATACAAGTGGGACAACTATGGATGAATAGACATACCTTCAGTCTTGGATAGAAGACTGAGGGAAAGTGGCAATGACCATTGTCCAAGTGAGTGTTTTGGGAGTAATCAGAATACCATATACAGTAAGTAAAGAATGAATGAGCATTGAACATTGAGTTGCAGTCTATGACCTTGATATCCAACAAAAGCAACCTCAAAGGGCAGCTTACACTTCAGGATGGATGCCAGCACATGCACTCACACTCCTCACTGCTCACAATGTCAATTCTGTCCTTATTGTCAGAAATCAGCATCAAACTGTAAGGCAATATACTCTGTCAAGATGAAGACTTTTCCTCTGTTGCTCATGATGGCACAGCAATTGCAAATCCAGCTCTGTTCATCAAATTCCTAATATCATGAAATGTTTGCCAAGTGTCCATGCTCAATATGCCAATGATCAATCACTGCCACAAGTCCCCAACTTGTCAAATCACACAAAACACATGTACAACCTTTATGTGACAATTTTCATTGGACATTTGACTTTCTTCACAATACTAGAGGCATGGTTGCAAAGGTTGTGTGAAGGTTCCAACTATGTCAGTGCATGCAGCAATCAGTGGTAACATTCAACTACTATCACTGTTCATTGGGCCTTACCACTGCATGCACAGTCATCACTGTAAAGGCTGTAGCTGATTTCTCATTGATGCATTGGATGTAGCACACTCTGGTCATGTATGCATGTGGGCATCATGGCATCTGACTAGCTAATGCAGAGGTCAGCTCTGAAATTGCCACCTAGCTTAAGTCTGATTTTCTGTTTATGATCAAAGGCAAAATTGGTTTCAAACTCAAACTGGGATGCACTGCTCAGCCCAAGTCAAACCAAGCATCACTGGGGTTCAACAACAACATTCTGCCCACCCAAAATCTAATGATATCACTCAATGGTATCAACATAGCACTTGTACAATGTATTTTGTAGAGGCAGCAAAACAGGTACTGGTCAATCAAAGTGAGTCTATTTTTTCTAGGCAAAGTTTGTGATTGTGCTGAATAGGAGCCTGATGACTAAGGACCTGTGCTAGAATCTGATGACTAGGAGGTCACAATGGTGGACCATATCTCATACAATGATAGACATGGAGATGTGGATAATCATTCTCATGTCTTTAAATGGTGTGTGGCTAGTACTGATTTAAGATTTTTCATTGATTCACAAACCCTACAGCCAAGCTTGAAGTG